AGTATACGCCATGTTTCAGCTTGAAGCTATTTAAACCAGCTGTGTTATAAACTTTGGAGACTGAGTTTATGTGGAAATGCTGACAGGCATTCTAACAACTGCATGCTCCTGAAGAACATCACTATTTCACAGTGAATTGTTAACAAATTTACCTATTTATTTTTATTAATGCTATTGGTAGGATTGGTGTTTGCACAGACAGCAAAAGCTCTGGAGGCCTCATTTACTAAATCTGTCAACATTCTTTCAAGCGCTTACTTTGGTACAGTCACGCTGACTACAATAAGGCTTTTCTGGAGCAAGTGATTTGATGATTGGATGCAGTATCTTTGTGAAAACATTATTAGTATCCCTAAAAGAAACATTAATACATGACCAGTGGGTAAAATGCTAGATTCCTGCTCCAGCCCCACCATACAGAATGGTTTTGGGGAATCAGACAAAAGAAGTTAGTTTTAGGCTCATTGTGCCATATTAATTCCTTTAAAAATGTTATTAAACAGTTAAAATACTGTTAATAAATATACTGTATGTCTTAGTCAAACAATTCATAAATACTGTATATGTCTTAATCTAACAATTCATAGCTGAAGTGTGACACTCATCCCATTTGACTAGGATAAAGTTCCACAGTAGAACCTGCAATTTTTAAAAAGTCAAAGAGTGTTAGTCTTGTTTTTCACTACACTTCATCAGATTTTCACCCATCACTGCCAAGTCTGGAGTAAAATATTCCATAGTGTCATCTCTAATATTTCACATCAAAAGCAGAACCATGTATATATAATTTTTATCTTTATACACATTGTGTATCTTTTTATGCATGATATGGAAGTAAAATGTTCAGTACATTATGGTTCTTCATGGACAGAAAAACCGAATAGTACAAACAGAATAGTTCACATGAGATAATTTTAAATAAATCTTGATGACTGCAAAGCAATCCATTTCTAAAGACATTTAGAGTCTTTTACCAATGGGAAAACTTCTACTAGCTTTTTTATTTAACACACCACTCCTATGGTTCTTTACTTGCAACACCACATGGTATAAGCAAAGTGCACTGTCTCATCACTTATGTAAGTGAAATCTGACTTTCATGCTATATATAGATCACAAAAAAAGCTCAGGGACACCTCAATAATTTCAGTCTGCATTATATAGGTAGGCACACACAAACTTTTTATAGTAATTTTTTGTTGATGTTAATAAAGTCAGCCAATGGAGCAGGTACAAATAAAAATACATGCACAGAGATGTATGTATGTGATTTCTGAGTAAAGCAATTGCCTTGTTTGTGAAATATGTTATTAAAAAATATCACTTCTGTATGTGCATTTTAATAATAAGTTCAGAGGCTACAGTACTTTGAAACCAAAAAAGAAGGCATACTGCATGTCAACTGTAATGGCACATAGGCTAAAATACTGCTGCTTAGCATAATAAGTAACAATTAGAGCAGGCCCACCTGAATCAATGGAACTTAAAGAGCAGGTAACTCATGAAATCATTGCTGATTCAGTGTAGCTACTTTAGTGCATTTGCTATACAAGCAACCAAATTTCAGCTGTAATGTATGTTTTTGTGTACTATGACTCTGAGACAAAGGTGGAAGTTTGTACTTGTTCTGAACTGCAACTCCAGGAATACCCAGCCAACATGGCCCCCGAGGCACCATATTCTGGGAGATATTGTCTGAAAAAATAAATTTCCCCATCTCTGATTATCACTGTAAAGTGAAAGTCCAACAAAAATGACCAGGAATATCACCTCCAGTTACTAGCACCCACTGTGATTCAAGTATTGTAAATGCTCCACACCTGAAAACTAACAGGGTTCTTGAGAACATCTGGCAGGTTTACAAGAAAAGGAACACACTGTATTTATGCGCACAAAGACCAGTCTTTGAAATATCTATCTCAATACCTGTATTATATAAGCAGATTGAAGGCACATACAGTATCTTTCACAGTTTTTCTAGAGGTGAGTGTAATTTACATTAGCAAATTATAAATGAATTCAAATAATCAGATTTCTTACTAACCCCAACTCCCAAAGAATATGTCCAGTAACTGCTAGAATTGTCATGTAACAGGTTCCCACTGAACATAGATTGCCTGAAAGTATTCAAAGCTTTTCAGCCTAGCTTTGAATAAATTACAACTCTTACTTCACTGAAGTTCTACTTTGCAAAACAGGACTGGAGTGCATGGCACCTTAGAGTAATGTTTTAACACTGGATTTCCAGGAATCTGCAACTGAAAAAAAAGTCATTGCTCATTTGTAAAAGCAAACAAACAAAAAGCCAGAAGCTTAAATTTACCTATGAAACTGTAAACCAGTGCTTACAATTTCCCTTAACTTAATAATGTTTTATAAGACTTCAAGTACTGAAGTTCAATAATATCTTGTTTTCTATTTACCAACACGCCTTTCAGCAAAAAAATCCATCCTTTAAAGAATACTGATTTCTACATTTTTCAGCATATCATCTCCAACTCAAAAATGGGTGTAACTCTGGCTATGGCTATTATAGTAGGTGGAAAGGCTAGTGTCTTGGGGGAAAAAGTGTGGCAGAATCAGTTTACATTTGGAGTTGCTGTTTTTTTTCCCTATGTATTCACACACACACTCCCCACACACAACATTCAGATTTTTAAAGTCACCCACTGTCAGGTGATATCAGTCTTGCAACATCCCACTGCTGAAGATATCTGCAGTAGAAGTTTGGTGAGTACTATTAAAACATGCATGAGAGAGAAAGGAAGAAGGGGAAAGTACTCTCTTACCCCTCCTAACATAGGGTGTTAATAATAACTTTCCGGATTGAGATGTGGGTGGTATTTCACTGATGGGTGATCCTTCTAATAACGCAGTCTCTGTTTCCCCTGGCAAAACAACCATCTGCTTGGCAAACATTCCCTAATTTGTCCAGCAGGAGTCCAGAACAACATATCACTGGAAAAGGAAGTACTGTACACTACTTCCATCCCCTCCTTTAATTTTTTTTTAAAAGAGCCAATCTACAGCCCATCCTTCTGTCATTAGTTTTAAAAGATCTTTCATTCCTGCTGCTTGATGAGTCAACAGAACACCTGATGTGAACTATGCATGTCTTTGACAGTTTCCAAACAAAACTTTAACTCTATCACCTTGGAAGACACACCCAGTCACACAAACAGAACTTCCTACAAAGGCCCTGGAACCTCATACTGAGGTGTGTTTTTTTTCCCTTTTGATTAGCACTAGAATACCAAAGTAATGACACAAAACAGCCATCTTTGTATGTTTATGACTACAGAAGATCATTAGAATAGCTTTAGAAACTGTGGGGAAATGAAGTGTTGAAAGTTAGAAACATTGGGGCCAAAGGAAAGGTAACCAGTCTTTCATTCTGCAAAGGAGAGCTCCGAGGTCATTCCCCCCACACACACACGGGTGCCCAATGTCATGGAGTTCTAACGGAACCTGCCATCAAGTAGGTTCAAGATACCTTTGTGATTAAACCAGGTGCTAGCTAAAGAACTTAAAAGATTACACTGCACATCACAGGGTTATTTTATTAAACAAGGTATTTGTTGCATTGTCCTTACAGTCTGAGAAAATACACTATCAACTGAGCAGTGGGCTGCCTGCAGTGAGAAGATCCCCTGGATTATTTTGAAGAGCTAAGTCTCGCAAGTGGTAGTAAATTCTTATGGCTAATAATAGTTACAAAAGTGCTGTGGAGGAGCACGACTGATCGTATCAACCTTTAAATCTCATGTAGTACCACTGACTTTAATGAAACTTTCTCGTCAACCAAATAGTTTGGGACACAGTTAGGACATATAATAATATCACAGCCATTGCATCCTCCAAGGGGTCAGGGAGAAGAAAGAGAGGACTTCTTTCTGTGGGATAACTATTAAATTGTACTATCTGCACAAATCCATAAGGATTTATAGATGCTAGACGAGGACTTACGGGAAAGAAAAAGGATGTACATCAATTAATAGATGTACCGTGAAGCCAGTTGTGTTGCCACAAAAGAAACGAGCTAGCCACGCGAAAGATTATAGTTGAAGTGAGGAAGGCTGAGTGCCCATGAGGGGCAATATTTGAAATGAATAGTAGGAGACTCTTTAGGGGACTATGCAAAGGATCTTGGAATCAGAAGATACACAAGGGCTCATGCCTTAACAACTCTGGGAAAGGATCTATTTGCATTCCCAAGTCCTTGTAAAGGGCTTTTCAACAAGAAAGAACACATGAAGGTGTTCTCCTGTTAGAGGCAGAACACCTCTTGCCTCCCAGGAAAGGAGCGGCCTACCCCAGGGACAAGAAGGAGATCCGTGTTCACCTCTTTAAATTTCTCACACTGAGACAAAGCATTTTAATCACAGTCTGGCTCCTCTCCAGAGGGAACATAAGGCAGGCGGCAAAAAATTCCTTATCCTGAAAGTTACACTGTCTACTTACTGGGGGGTTTGGGGCGGCGGCGGGAGGGAGGCTGCTTTTATCTGAGGTAGAGCGAGAGCGTGTGGCTGCAGATGAGGAACGCGCGCTCCGCCTCGAAAGAGCGGGTCTTCATGAGGGCTAGAACCCATCTTATGCATAAAGTACGAGCGACCCCGGAAACCCGAAGGGACCCATCTGGGAAAGCAACGTCTGTGGGGCAGAAGGGCCTGTCTCTGACAGGCGGATACGGGTGGGCGCGGGCTCGGCCGGGAGCTGGGAGGAAGGACCCTCTCGCGGGGGAGCGTCTGCGGAGCCGTAGGGAACCTTTTCACTCCCATGTAAACGGGGGAAGGCGCCCGCCGCGTGGGCGGGAAAAGGCCGGGAATGTAGGATGCGTGCGAGGGACCGAGCTCGCCGCCTCGCCCCCTTCCGCCGGCCAGGAAGAAGCCAAGAAAGTTAGTTGCCTGGGGTCACGGAGAAAGGCGTGTTTGGGGCTTTTTTTGGGGGGGGGGGAAGAGAGACAGTCGGCGATTGCTAAAGGCGCGCCTGGCTTCTCTTACCTTGAATGCCACCGGGAGGGTCTTATTGCAGCGCCAGTGCGAGGGCAGCACGGAGCACAGGAAGTTGGGGCTGTCGGTGCGGACCAGCTCGGCCGGGTGGTCGGCGATGATCTCCACCATGGTGCGGTTATCGTGCGGGCGAAGCCGGGGCACGGCCGCTGCCACCGCCGCCACCTCCTGGTGCTGCTGCTGTTGCTGCTGCTGCTGCGGGTGGTGATGTTGGTGCTGTTGCTGCTGCTGGGCGGCTGCCACCACCACCGGGTTCACTTCGCTCATCTTTCCGGGCTGCAGGCTGCTGGAAGGGGGGCTGAACCTCCGGCTGGTGCTGGGATCTACGGGAATACGCATCACAACAGCCACAAGTTAGCGAGTTTGGCGGGGGGGAGTCGAGGGGGGGTCGTTCGAGGAGGCGTTGGAACAGGACCCGGGAACTTTTTTGTTTTTTTAAAGGGAGGGAGCAAAAAAAAAAAAAAAAGGAGAAAGAGCC